CCTCAAAATATGTTTCCTTAATGTTTAGTGAGTGGGAAGTCAAATTTATAAATTATCAAGTAGATTTCTGAATAACTGTGAAGTCTCTACAAGGAATTTTTGGTTTTAGACATAATATTTATGTGAATTACTAGCAATTTTATTTGTATGTTTGATTTTTTAATAATGTTCATGCTATACAAGCCCAAGGCCTACTCAAAGTAAAGGATTACTGAAGGTGGTTGTTTTGTAAGATGTATGAGTAACAGTTGGAGTTTATGCAGATATACAGAAAAGGTAAGAGTTGACCCTAGACTTGGACAACTTAAGATTATACTAGTCAAGAAAGTATCCTTCTGGGATTTTGTTCTAAAAAGCAGCAGTTCTATACTATACTTTATTATACCTGACACTACCACCAGCCAGGGTACCCAGGTTGGTCTTTGTGACTCTTTTATCTTGCTTTTTTTAAGTACATTTATATCAGTCAGTTAATTACGTGCTATGCATGATACACACTTAGGCAATCATATATACTTCAATACATGATTGACCAAGCATATTTTTTCCTGCATTAGATTGCCATTTCTTTCTGCGGTAGACCAGTTGCTCTCCAATTCCTCAATCCAAGCCACTATCCATTACTCCACTGTGCCTCCTCTAAGTCTTAATGTAATCCTCTTCCTTTAATATCCTTGGAGCTTTGTACAGGGTGAAACTAGCTGTATATATATATATATATATATATATATATATATATATATATATATAAGGCTATAGAATCAGTCTGTCTTGCTATTTACCCATAGCTGGAGGAAGAAGAAGAGGATTCATACCTTTCCCAAGGGTATTAGCACATAAGTGAATGTAATGGATTCAAGTGGAATTCGAACTCAGCTCTCTGATTCCTCAGTCCGAGCCACTATCCATTACTCCACCATGCCTCCGTACATTTATATACGTTATAAATTAAACTAAGCACAACTGACTATTAAAATTTTCTCTATTTTTTATCCATAATGTTGAATGTATTAAAATTACTCAACTTTTTAACAAGAAAAATCTCAAGTTGATGTTAAAAATTAGCACAAAACATTGTTGATTTATTTAAGATGGAATGATCTATTATGACTTGTCTCTAATTCATATTGATACATTGTATTTATTTTCAATCTAGTTTGATTCTTCACCTATATTGCATATGATTAATTATTGTACATAATTAGATTAAAATAAAATTTGCATTTTATATGAATACTATTTCATGAAAATTGAGATGCAGTAAAGTTGGGGACACATATCATAGATTGGAGTCAGGGACACAAGACCCTTACACAAGACATGTATCAAATAAAAAAGTTAATATTAAATATAATTTACTGTGAACTTCTATAATATCATTTCACAATGCATTTCTATAGTAAAAATCATTTACAATTAATTTTTATATGATTTTAGCATTTGCTGTGTAAATATATAATAAAAATGTTGCTGTTTTTTGTTTTGTCATGACTAGGAATCATAAGCAGAAGTTGCTACTTCCATGGCTGGAATATAAGCAAGCAAAATTATTTGTCTGTACAAGTGGATTGCACATAATTTCCAAGTAGAAAATAGAAAAAGAATTTAAAATAATTCAGCTAATAAGAAGCTTCATTCCTAAAACAAAAAACAACCTCACCTCTGTGAGCCAGTCTAGACTGATAAAAGAAGCTGAACACTTCATCTCAGAAAGAAAAATATTTTAACTACCAAATAAGTTGTTTCCACATTTCCTCCAATTTTTGATACCATGTGTACCCCAGTTCCACCAACTCCAACAGTATCTATTGAACTTTATCTTTCTTTACAGTGAACTTATGAAATAAGAAAATTTTATTCATGATACAATGAACACTTAAAAAGAATCTATTTCATTCTCTTTCCAGTGAACTCAAAAAGAAATGAATTTTTATTATATCTGCAGTGAATTACAAAAAGAAAAATGTTTTACTGTATAAAGCGAATTTTATTTAAAAACTACAAAACTCATTTTGTATCTATTATTTGAACTTATGACAGTTTGAAAATATAAAATGAATAGCATATACCTTTTCATATTTTTTAAGCAGCATTTTTCACCTCTATTTGAAAAGTTATGCCTTTTCTATCAACATTCATTCAACACACACACAAAAAAAACTCATTGGTGTAAATATCTCTCCTAACAGGTTGATGCTGAAAGAGTTAACCAAATAAAGTTTAACAAATCCTGTCCACAATAAAACAGGAGGTACGAACAGTTAGTTACAAATAATATGCAAGGCCAGCATATAACCCCCAATCCCTTAAAAGACCGGACAGGAGATTGATTGCTGCCACTCTGGGTAGTGTTTCATGATCTTTGCTATCTTATCAGCATGTGCTTTTTTTGCCTACATTTATATACCTTACAAATTAAACTAAGCACAACTGACTATCAAAGGATGAAAAATTTTCACAGACTTTAATATCATTCTGAGGACTTTTTTATCTGACAAATTTGTGAATTTGTTTTGCTCATGCTAAGTCTTTTTAAAATTCACTATTTTTTATAAATAATGTTGAATGTGTTAAAATTATTCAACATTTTAACAAGAAAAATTTGTATTTAGATACATTGTAGATATTTTCAATTTTTCTAGTTAAATTGTTCATCTATATCACATATGATCCATTATTGTACACAATTAGGTTACAATAAAATGTGTATTTTATATGAATACTACCTTATGAAAACTGAGATGAAGTAAAGTGGGGTGCCACATATCGTAGATTGGGTGGAGGGCATAAAACCTTTCACCAGTCTTGATAATATGCATAAACCTTTTATTTTTAATAGAAACTTTTTCATTCCATTGAAATTGATGATTATCTGCTAATTATGGAAAATAATCTATATCATAAAGAGATTTAATTACATGTTAATCATTTAATTATAAACATAACAGGTGAGAACTTAACTTTCTGCATTTGAAATTTGGTCACTTTCACTAATTTTATAATTCTTGACTATACAGCGTGCGATGGGTAAATTGTCACCATTTTATATTTTTAATTTTGTGCATGCGCTTTGTTTGTTTTTGATTTTGTCAACTGCCCAGTATAGTAGTGTCAGTTAGACACCATCTGTTAGAAAAAGAGTACCATGACGCAATTCACTCTGCCAGAAATTTGGAAAATGGCATGCTTTACTGCTTGGCATTCATGTGGAAGCTCCAATACGAACATTTCAAAGTGTTTGGGTGTCAATCTGAGGACAGAACAGAGGATTTGGAAAGAGTTGAATGAGTCTAATGATGATTATGAAGGTACAGCAGCTTGGAAAACTCACTTTGACCATTCTGATGAGAAAAGAACTCCTGAATTTGTTGGTAAGGGCCTCAGACTCAACACAGAGGCCTACATCAAGTGCCTTGAGGCGATAGTGCTATCAAGTGAGTGACTGCTGGAAAACCCTATGTCTGGCAACAGGACTCTGCACCATGCCACACAAACAGGAGAACCCAGTCATGGCTTTCAGACAATTTCTGTGACCACATCACTCCTTATATCTGGCCACCTAACTCCCCAGACTTCAACCCCCTTGATTATTATGTGTCGGGTACAGTTGAGCGAGAGACCAACAAAAATTCTTGTAACACCAAAGATGAACTGAAGGCAAGAATTATAGCAGTATTCACCAACTTAAACCAGGAAATTCCAAAGTCATCTGGAGGTCATGGTTGAAGTCAATGGTGATTTTATTGAATAAATTTATTCTTTAGTATTTTCAAGATATTTTTGTGTGCTATTTTCATTTTTGCGTAATGTAGACAACAGTTTATAAAGCACACACTGTAGAATAGACTGTGAGGCAGCTTTACTCAACATTGCAAATTGCTAAAAAGCATTAACCTAAAATCTTAAAATTATCTTGTCAGATCAAGAATTTCATAAGAATCACAAAAGTTAAGCAATGTTTGTACCTGGTTAGTACCTAGATGGGTGACTGCTTGGGAATACTAAGTGCTGCAAGCTTGTATATGCAGGTGGTGTAATGGATGATGGCCCGGAATTGTTAATTGAAGAGCTGAGTTCCAATTCCAGTTGGGTTCATTATATTCACTTACGCGCAAATACCCTTTGAAACGGTATGAATCCACGTCTAATCCCACTAGTTATGGGTTAATGAGTAAGATCTGTATCCCTAAACCATTCCACCTGCATAGTACCAAACTCATTCAGAAATATCTAAGCTATCATTTTTATATACCTATGGCATCAAATCAATGATTTAAAATGTCTTTAATGAAGCCTGTAAGTTATAGCAAGGACTAGCCTTCTTCAAACTTCATGGACTGGCATAACAGAATCACAAACAAATAACTGCACCAAATAACAGAAACTACATCATTTGAAGACTTCCAACAGCATCAGCAACTAAAATGGATAGCACATGTAACTTGAAGAATTTCTTTTTGTTCGCTAATAATGACATAATCATTTCACAAATAATGTTCCACACTACTTTGAACAAAAGGCTAGGAAGGAAACCCCTATCATTACTTTAAACAGTCATAACGGTGAACTTGAGAAATCTATTTTCTTGAAAAAATTGTTTTAAGAGAATATTTTATAAAGTTCAACTGAAAGTAGCACTAACTACTTGGTCAATGAATGCCAAATGTCTCCTTATAAGGAAACAGTTAATATTACCATTACCATTGTATAAAATCTTAGATTGGTAGTTGGTTGTTTTTGTTTTGCAGTATATCACTCTCTATGAATTATTCAATGCTAAAAGCTAAATATTTTGTATGCAATTTTTTTTGAGATAATAATGGTCTTAGTGATAAAAATCTTACTCATTAACCCATAGCTAGGGGAGAAGAGTTGAATTCATACCTTTCCCAACAGTAATTTTGCATAAGTGTAAATAACAAACCCAACTGGAATTGAAATTCAGCTCTCTGATTAAAAATTCTGAGTTGTTAGCCATTACACCACCTGCGCATCCAAACTTACAGCACCTGGTTTTCCTAAGTAGTCACCCATCATGGTACTGACCAGGCTTGATGTTACTTAACTTCAGTGAATATATGGGAACCGGTGCTTCATCATGATGTGGCTGTAAGTATAAAATCTAAGAGACAAAAGCTAAAAGATCTACCATATTGTACGTCATAAGAACAACACTTTTTCTCTCAAAAATGGACAGAAATATTCCCCCTGCTTTTTATATGTAAAACTGAGGCATGCACTAGAAGTTTTTTTTCCTTATATTACCTGCTGAAAATGGGTGGGGTCTTTCAATCTATTAAATACGGTGCTTTATTCTCTACAGGTATTCGAACATTAAACCTTCAACCTCTAGTCAGATAGCTTATCTAACATGCTGTCACCTTCCAGGACATTGTTAGAATGTTTTTTTTTTTTGTTTTTTTTATAGACACAACATTACAAGTATATTTTGAACAATAAAAAAAAATGACTGAACCAATGTACAAATGGGAAGCCAACAAGAGACAAGTGTCAAGCTTAATGAGATTAAAACTGGTGAATATATGTCACAACCTCTGTTTGCATGTCACCAAATGTTATCATCTCTCTGTAAAGGGTGCCATGAGATAAATGTCAACTATCAGATTAGATTTAATGAAAAACGGTTGAGGTGAACATCATGTTCACAAGACATTCTTCAATTCAAATCTTTGTCAAAGTATTGTTATCAAAGACATGTATATATTCCATATGGATAGTATAGATTCTACTCATATCAATTGTATCAATCGACATGCCTATGGGTCAAGATAAAGAAAAGTCGGGTGCTTTTTTTTTTATAGTTTCAAAGCTATTCACTTTTGGCAACAAGCCTACTCATCATGAGACCAGAATTAACTCACCCAACCCAGTAAGAAGCAAATTTACCTACTCCCTCAAAGCTATGTTGCATATTTACAGTCACCTTATTTAATGGCTTACACACATATCACATAGAAGCATAGTACTATCACAAAAGTTAAGCAATGTTTGTACCTGGTTAGTACCTAGATGGGTGACTGCTTGGGAATACTAAGTGCTGCAAGCTTGTATATGCAGGTGGTGTAATGGATGATGGCCTGGAATTGTTAATTGAAGAGCTGAGTTCCAATTCCAGTTGGGTTCGTTATATTCACTTACGCGCAAATACCCTTAGGAATGGTATGAATCCATGTCTAATCCCACTAGTTAAGGGTTAATTAGTAAGATCTGTATCCCTAAACCATTATTATTGCTAAAAAAAAAAATTCTTACAATCTAAGAATATTTTCAGGGTTTAAATAACCTGCAAAGAGTTGAAAACATAGAAAATGAATGAATCAATTGATATTTACATGGGCTGTGTCCTTGAGGCTACCAAACTAGACAACACCAATTAATGTAATGAAATAATCTGTCACCCCCATGAGTAACTATACTATAGGTAGTAACTATCTATAAGTATCTGTAAGTCAATGGATTACAGAGTCTAGCTAGGATCTGTTGAGTACGATTCAGACTTACATGAGAACTTCTAACCTTCCACTAGTAGCACTCACTACTGGATTGACTTGTGATGACCTTGTGCATAACTGTTACCTTTATTCTTATTGTATTGGTTTTTACAATAAACCTTTACTAATTTTATCCACCTTGTTTTTCAAGTATATATTCCTATTAGTATGGAATATAAAACGAATATTTAAAAAAATTCCTAATAAGAAATAGGATTCAGGATTAACCTTTCCAAAACAGAAACTATGATCTGGAATTGGAATGAAAGGCAGTGATGACATCAAACCTGAATCCATCATAAAAGTTCAGGATATGCAATTAGTAAATGATAAACACTTCAAATGGATCACTTATAACAAATTTAATATAGGAGATAAGAAAATTGAACAAAGAATACACTGCACTAGATGTAGTTTTGTCCAACACCATAAATTTTGACAAAACCAAAAAATCAACCTTAAACTCAAGTCATGTTCTTAAATAGCCTCAAAAGCTCAAGACTTTAATATGAATGCAAAGTAAAGAATACACTTCTTTGGAACATGTGGACTGGTGCTGCAGTATAACAAAGAACTATACCAAATAGAGAAACCACATCACTTGAGGACATTCAACAGCAACAACAACTAAAATGGATGTTACATGTAACTTGAACAGAAAATAATGACATAATCAAGATATGAGTCTTAGCAAAGATCACGCTTGTCCAAACCATAAGGACTTATAAAGAAATGGCTAATATCACCATTACCATTGCGATAATACGAAGGTCAAAGTAATTGATAAGCTAAAGGAATACTCTGACCTCTGAACTGAAGTTGCCAGAATGTGGGATGTTCAGTATTCATAGGGGTGTTACTGCCTATACCATTGAACTTAAAATCCTACATTGTGAAAATCAGAATATAGCCTAACATCTGATCATTTCAGAAGCCTGACTTGCTTGGCACTGCAAATAGTCTGCAAAAGGAATATCTGTCTGAGGTTATATGTCCTGATGGAGAACACCCACAATGCAGGATCTCTGGTTGAAAACAAAAAGAATGTGAAAGCTGAAAGTAAAATAATAATAGTAATAATATATAGTAGATGGTCTTTAGATGAGAACATGAAATAAGTTTTAGTATAAAAGTCTATAATAATATTCCTTTCTTCTTAATTTCTGTTGTTTTCCATCAAGACTAATCCACCTGTCAGTCTACTGCCATTAGTAAACAGTACTATGTTCTTACCGTAAGAGAATTTAACCTCCAGGAAAGTGATTCATTGCAACTTTTCAGGCTAATGTTCTCATTTGGCATGAAGTGGAAAGACTATATTGAATCCTTTGCTAGGTCAGCTAAGAAAGTTGGTTCACTGTGTCATGCAAGACAATTTTTCTCTCCAGAATCTATCTTACATATCTATAAGCCTACCATTTGCCCATCCTTAGAAAATTACTGCCATATATGGTCCGCATCTGCTATTTACCTTATTAAGATCCAAAGAAGAATCAGCAATATTATTGGTCCTGATCAGCCGACTCAGCTTTAGTCATTTTCTCATCACAATAAGATTTCCTCTCTGTGCCTTTTCTATAAATACTTTCATGGTAATTGTTCAGGTGATCTCTTTGCTATGGTACCAAAACTTTTTGAATTTAAGCACAGTACTAGACTGGTATCAAGATCTCAATTTACAGTTTAGCTGGCTAAATGTAGCCATAAGTTCTATGCTAACAGTTTCTTTTTTTTTGCACTTCTCACTTGTGGAACTCCCTTCCTGCTCAATGCTTTCCAGGCAACTTTAATCTGCAAAAATTTAAATGCAATGCCAACTGCTATCTACTCTCTTCCTGATTACTCATTCCTCTTCCCACTCATTATTAATGTTTCTGCTCCTAATTCTTCCACACCTTGTAACCACTTGTGTCTTAGTGGATTTACTACCTTGCATTGGGTGATACCAATTAGAAAGATAGCTTGAGTCATTGCAATGGAAAGCAACAGAAATTAAGATGTACGTAGTATGAGGGGAAAAATTGATAATAGTTGACAATGCTTCATTTAATAAAAATTTAAGATGATATTAATTAGATATTCTGTGACTTCTTATTTCATGTGTTGTCTCCCTTCAGAGTGTTGATTATAATGGCTCTCTGCAACTTCCTATCCTTTGTAGCTCAAAGCATTATTTGTCTGGCATCATTTGCACAAGCTCATTAGTTAATGCTCAAAGAACATACAGAAGCCAAGAATGACAAAGGAAAGCAGCGAATAAGTCTGTATACTTGGTTGGTGATGTAATGGAATAATCTGTCACTCCCATGAGTAACTACCTATAGGTAGCTGTAAGTCAACAGACTATAGAGACTAGCTGAAATCTTTTTCAGATGCGCTGGTCAAACTCTCTGCCTTTGAGCAGAGAGGAACCCAGATGAGGCTATGCTGAAGGGCAGAGTCTCATTTGGGGAGGTAGACTGACCAGATCCCGTTTATGCAGAGTCTACAGGGAATTTTTGGTCGAGCCTATGGGCTTAGGAACCCCACATTAAATTCCGCCTTGTGCCACATGTGACTGCATGGGGCAGTTGCTAGATACTCTAGCTGAAACCTTTTTCAGCTGCGCTGGTCAAACTCTCTGCCTTCATGCAGAGAGGAACCCAGATGAGGCTATGCCAAAAGGCAGAGTCTCGTTCAGGAAGGTAGACAGACCTAATCCTGTTTATGCAGGGTCTATGGGGATTTTTTGGCCATGCCTACAGGCTTGGGAACCCCACATTAAATTCGGCCTGGTGCCACATGTGACTGCATGGGGCAGTTGCTAGATACTCTAGCTGGGATTTGTTGAGTACGACTCAGACTTACATGAGAACTACCGACCTTCCAATAGTAGCACTCACTACTGGATTGATATGCGATGACCTTGTGCATAACTGTTACCCTTATTCTTATTGTAATGGTCTTTTACAATAAACCTTTACTAATTTTATCCACCTTATTTTTCAAGTACATATTCCTATTAGCACAGAATATAATAGTTGGTAAACAGGGATTAGGAAGTCTAGCCAAAAAACAAATCTTACTTTGAACCACAAGGAACAGGAAGTTGTGGATAGCCTTGATCACCTATCCTGAAGGGACACAGTATCCAGAAGAAGAAGATGACAAAGAAGAGGTTAATATTATCTTTTTTCTAAGATCATAACATTTATATTTGCTTTTCCCAGCATAATTTTCAGTACTTGCTATAACTGTGTATGTGTGTGTGCACGTGGTTGTGGTTGCATGTGTGTGCACATGGTTGTGGTTGCATGTGTGTGCTTGTGTATGTGTGTCCTTGGCCCCAGTGTTTAGAATGCTAGAATTCTGATAATAAAACTTACATTCACTTTGTCAGGGAGATAGATTGATTTGTTTTTACAGCTTATCAACTCTTCATGGATTACTTAAAGCTGAAACATACTTTAGATTATAAAAATAATTCTTTTTTTTTGTCAGTGAATATTGCAGCAACAAGATTTTGAGAATAACAATGCTTTTTCCAGATACAAGTCCTATTATTTAATCCATAGCTGGGGGAGGAAATGAATTTGTGCCTTTCCCAAGAGTATTTGCAT